AAGGGCAAGGATGCTGCGTTCATGTGAGGGGCTCCAATGACACTTTACTATAAGAAGTGTTTATATAAGTCAGCATGGCTGAAACTTTTGCAGTATTGGAGCCACTCTGCACCCCTGCCATCCTATCTGGACCTCTGTCAAATCATCTCTTTCAATCATTCCTTTGTTTTTTGTTCGGATACTGTGATGCTGCTTTAAAATTGTTTTCCCTCCTGTTGGGAGAGCCCTTGCCCTGTGTAGAGCATCAAGTCCTTTCTGCTAGCTCAACAAGTTCATCCTTTCCTTGTAGACTGAACAGAGGTTAGTTGCGCCCTCCGGGGTTACGCAATTGGCTGGAGCAATGATTTCAAGACCTGAACCGGGGATTATGAGGAGGATGGTACAGCGGCACGGATGCGCGTTCGCGGCACGGACGCGTGAGGAGTGAGTCAGTCCCTGCAGTCGCCTGACACCTCCGAGTGTGAAACGAAGGTCCGTGGAGCTGAAGCGTCCGTGGAGCAAAGAGCTTTGCACCCTAGTTGCTTCTTGTTCCTAGTAGTACGGCAGCCCCCGAACGTAGCGTCCGATCGCTCCGTTCGTAGCCATGCCAGGAGCCCCGAACGTAGCTTCTTGTTCCTAGTAGCTTTGCACCCCTGGCGTCCTCCCCAGCCCTTTTTCTATACGCTTTTGACCGTCCTGGACCTCTTCGGAAACTGCTGCTCTCTTCGACCCGCGCGGCTGCTGAAAGCCCCGGAAGCTGCTCCTTGCCGGGGAAGAGCTGGAGGATTCGGCCCATGTGGCCATGGCGCGGACGTGGCGCTCGGTGACGGGTCCGATCCCGAAGCCCGGAAGCTGTGACGCAGCCGGAACCTTTGCTTCGCTGGAGTGAGGTGAGTTCGTCCAGTCAGAATCAGCATATGGCTGTGGGTCATGGCAGGTAGGTTAACCTCCTTAGTGGTTGATTTTGTTGATTTTTTCGTGGACAAAAACGCAGCGTTTGCCGGTGCCAATTGTCCTGCGACAGGGCATTGCCAGGCATTTTTGGGTGCGCTTTTCTTACATCTACATCAGGATAACTCGAGGTTGCATCTGCCCAAAGTCTTGGAATCCAAACGTCCTGCGCAAGCTTCTGTCTTCTTACCAAAAAATCTATGACTGTCTGGTGACTATGTATCTGCTAAGAACCATATGTATTTACATGTCATCACTAACCAATGCGCTGCATGTGCCATCCCAAATGGACTCATCACTTGTTCCTCATCCAACTGAGCCACCGAGGTCGTGTATCGTCGTCTTGCACCTAGGCCTTCGTTCGTGTCTCGTCCCACAGGATCGCCCTTTACCGAAGCTGGACGAGGTGTGCGAAGGCGACCGCTGTGTGCGACCGCTCCGCTGTCCGTCGCCGGTGGATCGGCCAGAAGTGGCTCCAGAATCCGGTGGCAAGCCACGCGAGTTTGGACGGTTTTTGTTCTAAATCCGGTCACTCTTTTTGGATGATTTCTTTTTTCAAGTCCATGTTGTCATGCCCAGGTCACTCTGTGGGTCTTTTGCGCCCTGGGCGGGCCCGCCTTCACGTGGAAGAGCACACTGCGAGCAGTGCGGGGTTTGAGTCAAAGGCTTTTCCCCGGAAGGATCTGAGGTTGGTGACACGGTCAGATGGCTATGTGCTTGGCAAAAACACCTGCAACGTTCAGATCATGGAACGGCCATGGTGCTTGGATGCCTTCCTGGTGGATCCTGCGGTGCCGGTCGGATGGTCAGACCGTTGACCCGCCGTCGGAACGGCGCGGGGGGGGCCCGCGATGTGGAGCTCAACATGATGCAACATCGGCGGAGTTGGAGGTCTTTTAGTTGGAGGTCATTGACTTCGGGGATGCTTACGGAATGCTACGAATTGGAAGGCGAAGGTTTTTCTTGATCAGCTTCAACATCCAGCTTCACTTTGGATTCAAAGACGGCTTCAGCAAAGATGAGCAGAGTAAAAGCGGCAGGTTGCTTGAGGAGGTTAGGCTACCTCGGCAGCTAGCCGCTAGAGCCAGCCTTCAAAGCTGTCACAGCTGTGGTAAGCTCGACTGGGTACCATACGGTGCCTGGCAGGGCTCAAGTCCGGGAGCAAAACCCCCTCGATGGCGGATTCAGAAAAATCTAACAGAACTCACCGGTGCACAGCATGCACGAGGCTCAATTGCCCCTTCTTGCAAGTATATGTTGGCCTATATATATATATAGTTCTATTTATATATACAGGATTATACATATTAAACATATTTATGTATAATATACACATGTAATATGATATATACTGATCTATCTCTCTCTCTCTATCTCTCTCTCTCTATATACAGTGTATAATAGTACCAACAGAGTTCTATAAGGGATCACATACATATATATATACACATATATTTACATATATGGATCGGCTTATATACAGTTACAGACATATTCTAGCATATATATATGTACATATATACAATATGCCTTTGCAAGGAACAGCTGGTTGAAGTCATGCTCAAGACACAATGAAAGCATCATCATGTGGATCATGAGTGCTTCTTGAAGGGGGATTGACCCCCTTCTCATAGAGATCAGCAACAGGATCAATATCAGCACAAAGCAGCCAACAATAGCCAGTATCCATTGGATATCTGGCAGTTCTTTCCGTCATCTATGATTTTCATGTCACATATCCAAGTTATTAACATGTCCACACCCATCACCTCACCCAACTGCAGCCATCCACGGCTCGGCACGTGAAAGCCACGGTGCCTCTGGCTCCGAAGCGGCGAAGAAAGCCGTCTTCCGCTGCGCGGTGATGGCTGTTCACAGCAGCTTCGCGAAGGCATAGACTGTGCACCTGATAAAGGCCAAGGAAACAGGTTACAAGAAGCAAGAGACACAGCGGTGCAGAATCGGACGTGGCGGAGCTGTTTGAGGACGTGGCGCAAGATGGCAGAGTGGGATCAACCTACGGATGAATTTGTTGGAAGGCTAGTTGCCTCGTACTGCCAGGATATGGTATGCACTGTGAAGCATGCCGAGCCACGTGGTAATTGACGGCTATTTTGCAGCAGCGCTTGCTGCAGAATTCCATTGTGTTTTGATGCTAATCGCATTGACTTTTGCTCTTCTTCTCCTTCCTCCGCACGACGACGATGACAACGACAACGATGACAACGACGATGACAGTGACACTCTGGACGAGTGTGAAGAGGTCGGTCTGAGGATATTCTCTAGAAATCTGAGTCCACATGGCCTTTCTGGCGCCTGTTCGACCCAGATGGGTGCAGCAGAAGGCCCAGCACGGCCCGAATCCAGATCCGACCTGCCGGCCGTGTGGGTTCCTCACCTCCCACCGTTGGACCGCCAGGTCGGGCCTCATGGTGCCCACCGGCGCGTGGTTCCTCAGCCGTGTGGCCGGCAGGTTTGAGGGGGACGCAGGGGTTGGAAACGGTGAAAATGGGGTCACGTGGGTTTGGGGTGGTGGTTTTTTGGTATTTCCGTTTCCTCCCCCTAAAATAAAAGGTTGAATCGGAGGGCTTAGTTATAAGTACGGCAGCGTCGTTCTTCTCTGGTCAAGTCGCACTGTCTAAAGGTATAGGGTGAATTTTCTACTTATTATACATATATTATATATATACATGCATTGCAATATAGGGAGGCCTCGTTTGGCATTCCAGATTCAATTTGTTCATGTGACCTTGAATATTGAGAGCTTCATGCGAAGCCAAAAAACAATCAAGAGCAGTGTACATTCCGCCAAGCATGAGAAGGACGTTTGTGCAAGCTGCCAAGCATGGGAAGGACTTCAACATGTTTCGTTTCCGCCTCTCCAACCCAAAGACGAAGCTGAAGCAAACCTGAAGCTTCGAGGCTGCAGTTGCAGTCCCAGGATCCATTCTGGCCTTTTTGCTGTTTGTGCCCTCCGTGTTGAAAAACTCGTGTGGAAGGTCACTCCCTTTCTTCAAATTCTCCATTCCTTCCTCGGTGCATGTTGAGTTGATCCTGCCTCACCATTCTGTCCGGACAGCGAAGTAACTCCTCACTAGTTGGACACATTTGTGCTTCTTGGTTTTCTTCTGCTTTCGGGGCCACCAATCATCCAGATGCTGACGTCCAGCTGGCGACATTCCACTGGTACCACCTCTCTTGAGAGGGAACACATTTCGGAGGTCCATATCTGGAGGAGATGCTGTCCACAGACGTGGCCGTTCTCCACAAAAGTCCTGGTGATCTGAGGGTGTTGGGCTGGGATCATCTGTTGGCCACCGCGGATGTTGTTGACCACGACCCGATGTGTGGTTTGCCGCCGACCTTTGTTCACTCACACCCGGTCCATCGTCGTGCAACTGGTCCATCCGGTTCCGCCATTGTTTCCCACTCTACCTTTCCAGGCTGGTCCAGTGCTAGATTGGTCCAGTGCTTGCAGGCTGCGAGACGAGACTGGCGTGGGGTTGTCGATGGTTCTTGATTTGAGCTCCTCCTCGTTCAGCGATGGCGTTCTTCAGTTTGCTGCTTCCTTTTTCAGTACGTCAAACATGAATTCACACGTTCAAAAACGAGGTCCGCAGGAAGGTTGACGTCCTCGTCTTCGGTGAACGCAGCGTAGAAAACAGGCCGCCGAACCAGTCGCTGCGTCCAGCGTCGCTGGCCGTGGGATTCTGCCAATGTGAGATTTGGAGAACGCAGAGATGGCAGTGGAAGATGTGTGGAAAAAACACTGGCAGTGGCGGACGGATGGCGCGGTACGGATGGCTTTTCGTGAGAGAAGGCAGGGCACTGGGCAGTGGAAAGCACAGGGCCTTCACAGCAGGTTCCCTTGAAAGTCCCGTTGACCTGGCTCCACTTGGCTGCCATGGCCGAAGCGCGCGGCTTCGCCGGCCCAGTTTGGGGGGACCCCCGAATCGACGTTGGCGACTGGCCCTTGAAAGAACGCCAGCACGAAGGGTATAACATCACAGGCTTTCCAGGCAGCAGGTGGTCTGGGCTTGACCGAGTTGTTTCCACCCTGATAGGGGAAAAAAGAGGCTGGTCTGTGCTCAATGCCAGTTTTTTGCTAATGCAGGCAGGAGGTGTTTCTTTTGAGCAAGGTGGGGGGGTCCTTCTTCGAAGCTTCGTCCTATTCGGGATCCGCTACAATCCCTCCTCAAAAAAAAAGAACACAAAGAAAACCACACACACCCTGGCATGGAGCGCGGAAAAGGCGCCTCGTAGCGCTCATGAGTGAGCGCTCGTTTTCGTGAGACCAGGCGTCCACAGGCTTCACCTCTAAACTGAAACTCCGCTCCGCCAGATCTGGGGAACCAGAAACGACCTTCGGGGCTCCTCCGGGCATCGATCGGACGTGACGTGACGAGTCCGGGGCGAACGCAACACCGGTGCGGTCCGTCGGATGAACCGACACCTCGCGACACTCGGGTCCGGAGCGGGTTTTTCGCTCGTTTGGTTGGCTGGATGCATTGCCATGTCAGACATTCTCTGAGCCTTTTTGGTGCATTTTTGAGGGAACTTCAAGTTGTTAGAACCATGGGTCATGAAAGATGGTGACCCACCATTAGATGGCTTGATTGATCAATGAGAACTGGGCACGCATTTCAATTGCTGAAGTATCTCTATACACTTTGATGAATCAAGTCATTTGTCTATTTTCTGGATAGTTGAGATTTTCTCAGAAAATATGATCGGATAACCCTCTCCACCACATGCAACACTCGAAGAAGCCCCTTCAGGTATTATGGTTGTAGAGGAGGAGAAACATCTACCAGTACCAGGACCCCCTTCAGTGGAGAGGTCCATGGTGTCCATGGTGACATTTTTCGCACTGCAGTTCGATACTGGAAGACGGACCTGTCTAGTGCCCCCCCCAGTAGGGACTCCTCAAGAAGAACACGAAGACTCGTTGAGGGCAACTGTGCCCCAAGCAACTGTACCACTGTAACCCCAAGACTTTGGAGATGAGAATGATAGATTCCCACCATCACTTGACCGCGATTCCGCCACCGGTCCCCTTGACCTTCCCCGCCTTCGCTCCGCCGCTGGTGGAGCGCCGCTGCCGCTGCGGAGCGCCGCGGGCGGACGACGCAGGTGGAGGGTACGGCGGGTTGGAGCGATGGTGGGCTTTTGGGGGCTCGCGGGGGTTACTAGAGTTCATGCGCTCCAACCATGGAAAAAGACGATGTGAAGAAAAAACCAAAGGCTACCCAGACCTGGAAGGACCAGTTCAAAGAAGCATCAGTTTGTCTTTTATTTGTATTTTCCGTGAGATCAATGGCAGGGTACTGCTGAACAAAAGACTGGAGATGGTGCAACAACTTCAGAGGATGACGGCTCAGTTTCATAAGAAAAATTGTACCTTAATTTATATACCTTAAAACTATTGTAACTTTTGTACATATAAATATATATATATATAATTTGTATATCTATCATCTATCAGATTGCCACAACCCTTTGTTGAAACTTGATGAAGCCCCTGCCTGAACACTATCATCCAACACTCATGCGAAGCAAATGAGGACATGGACATGGATGTATATAAATTGATCTTCCAAAGCCTCCTTGGGACTGGGTTCTTCCCAATGCTCTCGTGGGGGTCCGCCGCAGGTGGTCGGCTGCCTCTTTTGGCACCTGTGGTCGCCTCAATCCGTGACCGGCAGTCGTTTCAAGAGAGATCGACGCATATCAAGTCATCATGTATCGTCTTCAACCCCCCCAAAAAGCATTGCTCAGCGACCTGGGTTTGATGTCGCAATCGGCCCTAGGGAACAGTAAGTGGTTTTGAAGACATCCCCAGTCATTGATTTGTTTCGATGGACGACCCTTATTCCCTGTCCTGGCACACTCATCAAACCAGCCCCGCGAGGTCCTCAGTTGGGGATTGCTCCGGTGTTTCTTGGAGCAACAAAGACACCTCCTTCCAACGGGACCGTGTCTTTGGGTCGTCCGCTCCTCGATCGACACGGTCTGCGCCCAGCGAGAACGGGTCTGCAAGAGAACGGTCTCTCCTCCACAATCTTAGTTAAGGGAATTGGGCACTCGCTGGTTTTGGCACCAAGCTCTTTTTTTTTTCCGGAGTTTACACAATAGATGAATGAGGTAAACCACTTCACTTCACTGGTCATGGCACTCACTTCCCTTACTTTTGGAGACGACCCCGAAGGATCGGGTGCTCTTGTTTCGCAGCGCGACCGCGTCCGCGTCCGCCTCCGTGCGACATGGGAAGTTTCGCCGGTCGAAGTGGAAAAAGACGACGTGGAACAGAAGTCCCCACGAGTCGATTGGGCAGGTGGCGAAGTTTTTGGGCAGTATATATATAAGTTTGATATGTTTTTGTTTCCCCCATTTTCCAACACTTTGAGACTCTGGCCGGAAGTGGGAAGCGTCAAGTCGGCCATCGGCCACAGTGAAAGGGTGCCTTTGCGGTGATCGCTGTAGGTGGCCGACGTTTCCTTTGCCTCCGTTGCCAGCAGAGGGGGTTTCTGAACGAGGCCAGCGACGAAAGTCTCTTCGGCACTGCAAGAGTTCGGGTGTCTGGTCAAAGATCCGATGCTGACAGGCAGCATGTATGGTAAGACCTAGACCTAGAAGTGTTCACAATCATGTCACCATGTTCTAGATCTGGGTTTGTCCCAGTACCTGCAACTGTCGGTAAACAAATTTAACGAATTATAGAGAAAGGCCTGCAACTTGACCAGCATCATCCACTGTTACTGGTAATGGATATAATATAATATACATATGTACCCAATCTAGATCCTAGGTGGCTTCATTTTGGGGAGAACCCGCAGCGTGGGGCTCGCGGAGTAGATCTCGGCCGACGCCCATCCCCGCCGACGCCCATCAATGGCCATGGTCGGCCCTCGTGCCTTGCCCTGCCTAACGGCGCTCCTCCTGGCCGGCTGTGCGGCTTGGCTGATGTCTTGCCAGGAAAATCGAGCAATGTATGGGATCGATGCCTCCCACACGTTTTTGGATTTTTCCGAACAGACATCCATTCACTGCCGGTGTTGTTCCCATTCACTGCCGCCAATCTTCCGAACTCGCACTCAGACTCTGTCAATCTTCCGGTTCTTCTTCCTCTGCCGCAGGCCTTTAGCCTGCTGTCGCCCGCCCGGACCGTGCGCGCCACCGTGACCTCGGCCGGACCACGCGGGGGCGCGGCACCTGCGGGGGTGACTGGGAGTGGCTCCAGCAGCGCCAGTTTGGCCAGCGCGGCCGTGTTGCTGTGCGGAGCCGCCAGCCTGGCCAGACGGAGGGACCAGGTGGTATGACGCTGGGCCAAAATGGAAGGTTTGGACGGAGAGACTGCGTGTTTGAGCACTGGCTTGAGGTTCCGTTCCCGGTCTTCCACCAAAAGGACATGAGGTTGAGAAGCAGTTTGATCAAAGAGAGGGTACTTTGTAGGGCTCCAATAAGGGGAAAGATGCACAAGGGATTTCTTCATGTGGACACCGTGTTTGGCGAAGCTAGATGAACGGACGCACCTGGGCTGGTGGACCAAAAATCGCCTGGGCTGGTGGCCGAACCATCTTCCCTATGCCGCGGTCTTGACCAATCAACACCACCACTGGACACTTGGACGCTCCCCACACACCTGCGCTGCTGGACGCCACGCCACCGAGCGGTGCGCCCTGCTCGAGCGTCCAAGGCCGCGCCGGTAAGCAATATTGGGAAGGCGAGTGGATCTGCGCCGATTGCGGATATATTTACAATGAGTGCCTGGGCGAGACAGCCGGGGGCACCGTTGGGAGTTCCCCAATCTGGGTGGCGCTTCTTTTTTGTGTTCGGGAGAGGGTTTTTGGAACACATCGAGTGAGTTTACCTCATGGTCCTCATTCATGGTCCTCATGGTTGCTGCACTGGAGCTCTTTTGCACCGCAGCCATCGGTTTTTACATCGAGGACCGGAGTGTCGTAACCACCAAGCTGGGTGGTGCACCAAGCTGAGACAAGGCTTGGACGGAAGAACATGGAACCAAAATAAACAAACATCAGAGTTTGCGACCAAAATTCTGTGTGTTTCATTGCGTTTCTTCCCACAGTCTTGCGCTTCCAAAACGGCTGGAATCGCCGTGTCTTGCGGCCGGGCCGGGGCCCCTCATCCCCGGCCGTCACGCCGAAACGCTGTAACGCCACGGCCGTCCCGCGCGGCGGAGGCGTGCCTTCGGCATGAAGTTCGAGGACCTTCGGCGTGGCGCTGCGGCGCTGTGGCGGTCGGTGGGGCGCCAAACCAGCGCTGTGGAGCACTTCGTTCGGGGGGGTGTGGGTTATTTGGGGCGCTGAACGTCCGGGTGCGAAGGATTCTTCCACGGCGCCTGCCTCCAGGCTCCTTTTGGTTCGGTTCTAAGATTTGCTAAGAAGTGAAGCTCCCGGAACCGCGGAGGGAACAGCTACACCAGTTGACATCCTCTTTGGGAAACCTTTTCAACCATGTCCAGCCTTTTTGGGGCGCCGTTTCTGGTGCCGTTGTTGTTGTTGTTGTTCTTTTAATTTTTGTTTTATTTATTTATTTTTTTTATAATCTTCCTTTTTCCGAGCAGACACACCTCGCCTCCTTCCCGTCTCCGCGGGGGGCAGTGGCGGCGAGGACCTGGGTCAGGGCTTCAAGTGCCCTCAGTGCGCCGCGCCGCGCCGGCGTTTCGCGCGGAAGCTGGGCGACAAGATCGGCACGACGCTGGATGGTGACCTGGACGGAAGAGTGGGGGGTTCCCGAAAGCGAGTGGGACGGATGTGATGACGGGCACCCGGCGTCCTTTTCTGGGAGGTGGGGGATGTTGGGGGTTTACATGAAAGGATCAGAAGGACATCGAGCAACGGTATCATACATCGAATTGGCCAATCAATCCTTTCAACCTTTTGCCCAAAGGTTGAGCCTAGTTGGCAGGATGTCCTAGGCATGTTGGATGCTTTTCCAGGACCATCCAAAATGGGTGGAGCATTTCCAACAAGCAGGATTCTGCTGGTCGGTCGGTTTGGTCTTTTTCTCGTTTTTGTCTGAAGGCCGAAACGGACCGAAAACCGAGACCGGCGGTGTTCGGCGGTTTGAGATGCTCAGGCGGCGATACACCCATCCTGATTTTCACCGCCGTTTGCTTGCTGATCGTCTTGGCCATCGCCTATTATAGCCTCCAGTAGCATGCGGTTAGTCACCTGACGCCCCGACCGGGAGAACGATGTCCAAGCAGAAATAGAACGGTGCGGAAGGAGGAAGGGTGCGGATCTGTGGTGGGCCACATGGTCACATGCCATACAGGACCTTTTGAAGACTCAGCACATGAGACGAACACAACCTGCTGTCAGAGTCTCATTCCTTTACAGAACTTGCACCCTGCTGATTCCTTGGAGCCAGTCTTGGGTGGTGTGCAATTTTGGTACAAACCATTGTGCTGTCAAAACATTGCAGAGAACATGGCTTTAACATGCGTAAACTATATGATATGCCAGACCTCTTAAGTGAGCAAGATTTCAAGCGATTCATTTTCATTTTCCCCCACCGACAAGCTATACAGCTGAGCTGTGTCATTTTGGAATCCCCCTAGAATAGCATGACCCAAAAACCTATGAACCCTGAATATCTCTTGAAGTGATACTGAATATCTATCACGCGTGTCGTGAATCTCGAAAACCCCCTTGGAGTGGTTTTTCCGACGAACATCACCCCCCGTCCCGCTGCCCCAGGGGAGAGGCGCTGCCGAGAGCGGGGCGGAGCAACGGAGTAATTCGCCTATACCGCGCGGAGTGCCGTGCGTTCGTGCGGAGTGCGGTGCGGTGTGAGGATGGAGCGAAAGAGGATGGACTGCAGGGTGGGCATCTTTGTGATCAAGAGCTTGGGACGAACATTCTTTTTCTTCCCACAACTGGAACCAGGAGGACTTTCGCAGGAACCAGGGGTCGGCTGGCTTGAAGCTCTCCAACATCCCATGCAGCTTCCTGTCATGCTCAGGTCGGGTGCAGGATCGATCTAGCTATCATGCTCTCTTCCTGTCTTGCTGGTGCGATGTTGGACGCAACTGACAGGAATCTGATCTCAAACTTCTCGTTCCGACTTCCCCCCACCTCTAGCCGTCTTCTCTTCCAACTGACAGGAGTCGACTTCTCAACTTTCGGTGTTTGAGGGGACTTTTCTCCACCGGCGACGTGCAAGGCCGAAAAAGCCCCAGCCGGATGAGGGGGATGAGGTACCTCCAACCTGGAAGGAATCCAATGGGGTGAGGAATCCGGGGTGAAGATCTCCCCTCGTCGAGGCAGGACTCGAACCAAAAACTTGGTTTGGCGGCCGGGTGGGGGTCGCGGAGAACTGAGCGGCCAGGTGGTTGGATTTGGATCGCCGCCAGAGTTGGAAGACCAATCACTTGGAAGTTGAACCCGGTACCTGGAGTGTTGACGGACTTCTTCTTTGCCTTGGTCGGCCGAGGAGGCTGAGCTTTGATCAAGCAATGGATGGCACAAAAAAATACCCTTAGGTGTTTTACACTCAGATTTTCAGGCAGAGTTTTTTTCACATGGTTTGACCGCATGGTTGCATGGTCGACCGCATCTTTTTCGCATGGTCCATTTCCACCCTCGACATGACAAGTCACAGGTCGGCAGTCACGGGAAAAGCTTCCCCCAACAACCAGCGAAGCTGTTCGTGCATGAAGCTGTTCGCTCCATTTGGAGTGAACCTGGTGGGCCCCGGCTGAAGATCCACTGCAGTCCTGTTTCACCCACTCAAGCCATTGACATTTTCCATCGAAAGAACCCCAATCCACTGCGCCTCACGTGTGGGCCGCCGCCTGGCGGAAGAAGCCGCGTGGAAGAACAGCGCCTGCCAGGCCGGGCGGGGTGGGGTCACAGATTCCATCATCATCCTCACGGTGGCAGAGACCAGGACCCTCCTGTCGGGGTGTCCATTTATAGCCCCTTAGAAGGGGTGTCCATTAACCACCCCGACTGGGGATATATACCCTAGAAGTCCAAAGACTATGACCGGCTGAAGTAAAGTTCCCTTTCAGGTTCCGTAAAGACCATTCTTTTTATCGTCTTTGACTCCCAGGGCCCAGGGTGTATACATTTTAAATAGATTTTGATAGGATCGATAGGATTTGACCGTGGGGATTGGACAGCGCACCTAATCCATCCATATTATACTCCTTCGTGGGGTCCGAAGTCCTGAACCTCGCTGGCATCCGACATGGTTCGAGCGGGATCGAACACGTGATCGACCGGGATGCGCCCAAACGGTCGGCACGAGCGTCAAGAAGAGGGGAGCGCCCAAAGGTAGGCAGCTCAACACCGGAGACAGGAGAAGAGCTTGAAGACCCCAGTGTCCCCCTCCAAACAGGTGCAGAGAACTCCCACGACCGGCTCTCGACCCTCGAACCGGACTCTCCCCCACCAAACCCACCGACCGGCCCCCTGATGCGCGCGGAGCGTCGGTCGCGGCGCCAGGTCGACCCGCCATGGTGCGGCCTAATACCGAGCAAAAGCTCGACATGGCCGCGGGGGGAAGCACCAGGGCCGGGCGAGGGATCGGTGCCGAAGCGCCAAGAAAGGTCCAGCCCTTTGAAGGAAAACATTTTTTTGGGGGGGGCGTGCCCCATTCACCCACTTTGGAGAGAGCTAAGGATCTACACTGTAGCGTCATTATTTGGGCTCTGGGGCGGCTTTTCGGCCTTTTTCGGAAGGCGCTGGACGAGTTGGTGAAGTCGGACGAGGCGCCGGGGAAGTGGAGGAGTCGAACGAGAGCGGCTGAAGAAATCGACCGGGACACCCGTTCCGTGGTGCGACTTCCAACCACTATTAAATCAATAGGCTTTACCGAACCAACTAAGGATTTTACGCTACAAAAACCAGCTCAACCATTTTTTTAATGGTCTTGGAAGTCTAGGGAATTGACACCCGTTCCGTGGTGCTAGGAGATTCCTTTTTCAATCCTTTTCAACCTATCCGAATCTAGCCACCCGAAATGGAGGGAAACACCGGAATAGAGAGACAGCAGTTCGTAGATAGCACCAAGACCGGATTGGAACGTTCTTTTTTGGGGCACTTTCTGGTGGAGAATCCCGGCCCGTGTGTCAACCGGAGGGTCTTTGAGTCGGCCCGGAATGGTTGTCGGACCTTTCGAGTTTCCTCGCACCGGGTGGATGGCTCACCATGACTCACCAGACGTACGGACGGACCCAAAGAGTTCCAGAAGCCTGAGACGTCCGGATGTTTTCCTTCTGTTTCTGGGGAGTCTGTACAGTATTGATCGCATGTATCGCTGTGGTGTCATGGTCTTGTTCAGTTGGTCCCTTGACATGACGGTCGACCACCTCACACCCGCGCGAGCCGCACCCGAACGGCCCAGCCCCATCGTCGGAGCCGGCCCCAAACAGCCCGGGGAACCCAGGGCACCGGCGTGGAAGTGGGGAAAGACGGGGGGAGACCGAGAGAGAGGGTGCTTGGAAGGGAGGTTTGGATGGGGTTTGTAAGAGGCTCAAGAAGGTGACCTGAAGGAGTGCAGCTTCCCGAACATCGCCCGGATTTATCGCGTCAGACCGCTGCATCCGATGCTTTGAGGAACACACCTTCACTTCACCGGAAGGATAACGACTGCAGGTCTTTTTAGTTCAGGCCTTCCAAAAACACCCCAAGACACTCATTTGGACGCTCCCTCCACACGCCTCCCGCTTCACCACGCTTCGTGGTGCAGACGCCTCGTCCTCCGAGGCGAAGCTGTCGCGGAGCGACGGGCCCTATGCCGGTGACCTGAGCCGGTGACGGGTGCGAGCGGGTGCGGGAGGAGCCCAAGGAGGTACGAGAGCGTGGGAGGAACGCCCCAAGGAGGGATGGGGGGAGGATGGGGGCAGATGAAGATGGGGAGATGGGGGCGGAGCGAGCCCTCGAACTGGAGAATGTATGAGACTCTTGCAGTTGGCCACTCGAGTTCTTTGGCAACGCGGGGAACATTCTTTCTACTTTAAACGCTTACTGATGCTTACGGTAAATGGCTGATCATGTAAGTTCAGGTGTTCAAACACAAGATTGAAAACAGGTTGAATCTTTTTTGAATCATACGTACGTTGAATCAACATACTACATCATACTACCAAGCGTTTTGCCGTGGTCAGGCTGCAGATTCGTGACGTTGTCTTCATTGTTGTTCTCTTCCTTTGATCCAAAGCTGCTTGGTCCCAGCCAGCGAAGAAACGGCATCACAACTTGGAGGAATTGAAGACATACGGAGGCAATTTGGCATCTTCTCAAGCTGCTTTCTGTGTTTGTTGCACATTGGCAGCTCCTTGTGGCCGTGCTTGGATGCACATGTGTTACACCCATGAGACCATCCAAACCGGTTTGAGACACCGGTTCGGGGGTGGTGTTTCCCCATTCTGATTCAACCACCAGCTGGAACAGGATCCCAGTTTTGCCCAGACCGGTTCCGACCGGTGCAGACCCGGCGCGCCGCCGCGCGCGGAGCCATGGCCGCGTCGGCGCCGGAAGACGCGGAGCCCGCGGAGCCCGCGGAGCCCGCGGAGCCCGCGGAGCCGCCCGCCGCGCCGGCTGAGCCGGAGCCGACGACGCTGACCATCCGCGTGACGGGCATCGATGGAGAAGGCTGCACGGCCTCTTGGACGCGGAGCGTTGGTGGAGCGCGAGCGTGGTGTGGACAGATCCGGCTCGGACCGCGTGGGAGCAACGATAGGACCCAAGCTGGGTCTGACTGGTCCTGAAAAAGGCAAAACCACATTCGTGAAATCAGGTCCTCAGCTCCCCTAGAAAATTCATCTTTGACTCCCAGATTTCTGGAAGAGGAAGGATGAGTGATGAGCAACCACACTATGATCGTCATGTCCTCCGTGCCCTTTTTCGTGTTTTTGAGGGAGAGGCGGGGCGAGGGAGTCCTCGAGTGAAGACGAGGACCCGGCCAAAGGAGGGGACGTTGCCACCCAGCCGTACAAAAAGGACATGGCATGACATGACACTGTTGTATTTCCCCCTTGCTTCCTGGGTTTTTGTTGGGGGCTGCTGGGGGGGGGGGCTTGCATCAGGCATAAGCTGCAGCAGACCCCTGATCAAGCTTGAGGTCCGAGGCATTTTTCTCAGATCATCATCTCCGCAAACCTTTGAACTTTGATCATCAACGCGTCAAACAAAGACAACATATTTTAATCAGTTTTCTCATTAAAGTCCGCAGAAGTCCTCGTAGCAACATGTATTTTATAACAATACATAACATCTAGATTCCAGTAGTTCCATGTCTGGGTGCCAATTTCAGGATAGGGGTGTGCCTGTCACATCCACTCACTGGATGTGACTAAAACTCTCCCAATTTCATGCAGGATTTCCGGCCACCCCTTTTTCACCCCGAAGCCACGAAGCGTGCGCTGCAAGCGTGAGGAACATTTTGAGCACCCGCCCCAGGCCCCAAGCGCCCGCTTTTTTCATGTTCATAAAGAGCAAACAGCGAAGTTGGCCCTCCAAGGCCTTTCCACCAGAATCCACCTACCAAACCAATCCAAACCTAGAAGCGATGGCCTCCGCCCTAGAAGCGATGGCTCCACCGTAGAAGCGATTGCCTCCACCGTAGAAGCGATAGCCTCCACCCTTTAGTGGCGATGGCCTCTACCCTAGAAGCGATGGCCTCCACCGTAGAAGCGATGGCCGGCCTCCAACCTAAGAGCAATGGCCTCCAAACCAAGAAGCACCCACCTACGCCCCATTTGCTTCCAAAAACCAAATTTCACTCAGGTGACCTGCGAGGATACGCTGCTGGGCCGCGAGCTGCGCAAGCGCGTGAGCGCCATGCTGCCGCCCAAGCCGGGCGGGGCGGTGCAGCTGCAGTTTGGGCCACAGCCCTTGGAGATGGAGAGCGGCCTGGGAGGGCGGCTGATGGGGAATGCGTGTGTTTTGAATGCCAGAAATGCTGGAAACACGACCTCCATCGAAGGGCACACGAACAAGCCCAGACATTGAGAGCCACACCGCTTCCCGGGTTTGCTGTCAGACTTCATGCTAACCTCGAGGCCAGCCCACAAGTGGTCCCTGGCCAGATCCATTAACAGTATACATTGCTTCCCGGCATTTTTCTTCAGCATCTCAGGGTTCCCTGCGGCCACTTGTGCCCCTGGCACGATGCCACTCAACCCTGCAAAGAAGGCTCTATATGAGTGGTCACTGCACGATTTCTGGCCCTACCTGTTGACCAAGTAAGAAATAATGGGAAACGCAATCACGAGAGTGCTCTGATAGTGTTTGATCCATTTCTGTTCAACGAAACTGTTGGTGTGGGACCTCAAACACAAGCTGAATGTCATGCCAAATTTGTCTAAAGTTTTGTTTCGGACCGTGTTCATCTTCCATGATATAGGTATGTGGCGGGGCGAGGGGATTTTGGGTCTACTATTGTCCATGATGTTTGTTGTGATGCCGATCATTCTCTGTGCCTTTCTTCTTCTTCACGCCAGACTCGTTGTGGTCACTCCATTGTCCCGGTTTTTTGCGGTGTCCCTTTGCGGAAAGCGGAAAGAACACCCTTTTGGGTTAGGTTGGTTGACACCTCTAGCCTCTAAACATCTCTAAACCACTGAAGGTTAATAAGCCCATAGCAGGGGTGTTTTTTTTCACAGGCTGACCTGGTCATGTCGCGCGTGGTTCCGATCGATCATCCACCTGCACCTGGCCCCGATGGAGGAGACGACCTTGAAAAATCAAGGATTTTCGCAGGAGACCAACTTGTCCTATGTGTACCTCGGCTTCGACTTCTTTCCTTGCCGGGTCACGGGCGAAGAAGGCCAAGTTGTCCCAACAAACAGATCGTTCATCATCATGATCCAGGGACCTGTCCTTGTTGGTTGGCTCATCCACAAAGGTCTCAAGAGAACACTGATGGGGGTATAAGACTTGAGTTGGGTATTGTCTTGCACATGGGAAAGTACATATCATTTCCCACCGTTTCTCGGTGGGTGTGTCAGGAAAACCCGTGTCTGGTCTCTGTGAAGGAAATTTAAGAAGAAACCTGGCTTGGAGCTGCCTCATGCAGAAGGATCAGAAGGGTTGACAATAGGATCGCCAAATGATTTCGATGGTGGGTATACTATGGTATACTATATACAGCTGTCATCAATAAATTCCGAGAGTCTCTCTTGCAAGTCGGACATTTGCACCCCAAACGACTGGCGACTGGCTCAAAAAGGCTTCTTCGGAACCAACCGGTCTACGCAAAAAGCGGCGGCGGCTTCCACCTCACCCACATATACCTCGTTTCAGTGTTCCTCTGGCACCTTTTTCCCTGTGGCCCGGGCCGGTGAGGTATGTCCCTGTGAGCATGCTCGACGCCTGGCGCTTCTTCCGCTGCGACATCGACGAGGAGGAAGACGCCACCCCTGAGGCCGCGCTGCGACCGACGGAGCGCGAGGTTCACGGTGAAACGGTTCACCGTCGCTGGGGGTCCGGCGAGGTTCGAAGAAGTCGTGTTCCCTGGTGTGGTGCCCTATCCCGTCGGCCTGGCGGTCATAACCCGCGCCTACCAGCGTCCTCCCTGGCACGACCAACAGCGGTCGTCTTGTCTCTTGATGGTCAAAAAAGGCATCATGCCCGGATGGTACATTTCTCGATTTTCGCGAACTAGCAGTTGGAACTCCTGGGTACATCAACAATCAGACAGTCCTGCTCAACAAGGGCCCCACCCAAATCAGCCATGTTGACTATGTTGCAAGGTGGGTTGGTGATCGAAGAGAGACCATCGATGATTGACTTGATTAGTTATTTGTTGACTTCCTCACACCTGGAGACAGAACTTGAAAAATGTCGTTCGCAGCACGCACAAACATCAACAACATGTGCACCACTCTCGGCCTAATCCTACCAGTCCCAGACGCATAGCTTTTGGGACTGTTTCTTTTTCTCTCTTTGCTCCCCAGCCCTGCGCACACTTGCACGATCGGCACCGGCGGACGATCTGGGCCCGATGGGTCGGGCACATGGGAAGCACGGCATCAGAAGCATCAGACAGAACGAGTTGGGGGGAAGAACGGCTGAACACTGAATAAAACCATTAACTTAATACGGGTTCTGAAAAACAACAGGTGAAAAGGCAGGATCTTTCGACGACCAACATCAGCCATGCGGGTGTCTTTTTGCACTTCTTGTCAGATTTTGCCGGGCACCCGCACGGTGCGAGTGCCATACCTGAATTGTTTGGTGATCTTCGAGAGGTGGGGGCTGGCCCAGAAGGTGCAACAGTGGGCGTGCGCGAGAGGTTGCAGCGACTCCAACATCCCTAGTTTCCATTTAAGATCCATGAAGTATATGATAAAACCCAATAAAACACGTGTGTGCGTCTTCTATTTTTCGTTCCTTCTTTTCATCCCATGTGACCTTTCCAAACCAGGCCGGGTGTTTGGCCCCGCCCGCAGGTGGCCTCCGAGGGCGCCCAGCGGGTGGTCTCCAGCGGCCTGGGCTGCCGCCGGAAGCAGCTGCCGGCGAACGTGCGGCAGCTGGTGCTGGGGAACGAGGTCACGAAGGAGTTGGCCCCTTGGAACGCGAGCGAGCGGACGGACGAAGGGTTGTTGTTTGGTGTATGTTTTTTTCCGATTGGTCCGGGGAGAACTACCTGACTTGTTTCGCTGAAAAGAACACATCCAAACAAACACCAGCTACTGTTTTCCTCACATCTCCTGTGGTGCAGGATTTTCTTGCATCAGCAGTGGGATACAGGAGAGTGACCCAGAGATTTCGACACCTACAGTAGTTGTGTA